CGAGCAAACTGGCTAACATTCAAACAAGTTCTCATAAACAATCACATTTTGGAATTCTCCTAAATCAATTTAAAAATAAATCCGTTTATCAATTTGCTTAGTACCACTTGTTTACTACGACCTATATCTACGGATTCATAGAAATAATCGAACATAAAATTTCGAGTAGTTCTTTACATAGCTCTCATTTTTTAGATACTGAAATCTCATTTCCGCATAATTCAACCTCACAAAAAGGATCCAGGCAAACAAAGCATGACTTAGGACAGAATATATGCTATATGGAGATGAGATTTCACTATCAATGAAAAAACTCGAAAATTCTGGCAATTAAAAAAGCGAAGACTAGACCATTTTCTGAAACACAGAAAAGCCTCACGTTTAACGCTCGGAATTCGGCATTCTTCTCAATTAAGAGCACTGCAGTTCCTGTCGTACTACGCAAAACTTGTGTAGCTTCATCACGTGTCATCCCATTTAACAGCAAACCATTAACCTAAACATTCACAAACTAAATGCATCCAAATTTTCAATAAATTTAAAAATATTGTCAAGTTTGAAGAATAAGTACTGAAATAATGCGATCTCCAACACTCAGTCTTCTATCACGTGAAGCTGCGCTACCAACTCGGATTCTCGATATGAATATACCTGGATCACCTGGTATGTGCTCACTGTCAATGCCACCAACAATATTGAAACCAAGCCCTAAATTCCGAAAATAGTGCTTGACAATTCTTTACATAAAAATCTGTTAATTAAAATCATATATTTTATCAATAAATAATAGCACCACTTCCATCAAACTGTCACTTACAGAGGTAATAATAACAGATGAAAAAAGAGTTTTTTCCTCTCGAAATATTAGATTTAAAAGCCGAATTTAAGTTAACACACCATCTCTATCTTTTCGCAATTTTATTAGCACCTCATCCTCGCCGCATGACATAACGTTGTCCTTATTTGTATTGCGCTGAAAATTTTTTAAACACATTCTAAACATTTTTTAAAAGATTCCGAAACATTAAAAATCTCTTCTCCAATCTTTCTCGTTTATCAGAATTTCAGCAATACAATAGAAACAGAGAATGTACGAATTTTACCTCTTGTAAAACCTTTCCATCTATCATTTCTGAACTCGCTAGATAAGCGTCCTTCTCCGATGTCTAGAAAATGATGAATGAAATCAACTTTGAAAAGTTTTTTATTTTAAATTCATGTGAATAAAAACTTTACATAAACTTTACAATTTATCACTTATTTGTTTAGTGCGAATTCACGAATATCAAACGCGTTGACTAAATGACAATCTTCCTTCTGCTTTTTTGTCCATATTGGAATTACAGCCTTTTAAAAAACTGAATATCTTCGAAAATTTCGTAAATTAATAAAAGTCTGTAAAACTCGTACTTGGAGCAATAAACAATGTCCATAACCACAAGAATACTATAGCGTGACTAAATTTGAATGAAACAAAATATACCTTTCTGTTAAGTACAGACAGTAATGATCTTTGCTTATCTCGAAATGACTCTTTAATACTACGTAACGAAAGTGCTCGTTTGGGAGTTGTGAGTACAGATGAAAAATTGGAATGAGTTTCGGAATCTAACAAGGTTGTGTTCGAACGATTACGTCTAAGTTTCCGGAGATTATTCTGGAATCTTCTGAACAATCGCATATCAAAATGGGTGACATAATGAGCCTTCTGTCTATTGCCTAAACAACGAAAATAAAAAAAATCATGCCAAAAGTTCGCTATATGCATGAATTATGTTTAAATAACCTCCAAAAATAACAACTTTGATCTCTTACTGTAAAAAACTGCCTATATTTGGAAAATACAAAATGAATGAAACAAGCACATACCATAGTATCAAGCAACTTCTAAATTGCTCATGTATTTCTCATTTCAATTTGAATTCAATTTTAAAAATTACCAAAACTAGAGTTTCCAACAATTAGCTTATAAAATAATCAAAACTACAAAGTATTAATTTTTTTTAACGCTTTTCTATCTAAAAAATTTCGAATCAGCAGAAAATTAAACGAATTTCAGCTTCATTGAATTCACGTCAAGATTCCACAGAATCAAGGATGGCATGGAAATATTCTAAGAATTTAACACCTGGATGATAAAAATACAATAAGAAAAAAATTACCAGAGTGAATAATGAAAGTTATAAAAAGGTAAGAAAACCAAAAACATCTACGAAAACGTCGCTTCTTTCATCCGAAAAGCCTATCCTATCTACAGTTTAAAGATCATATACACAAATACAGAAAATAAAGACGCAATCAATAGCAACCGGAAATGATAAAGCGGCCTTACTTTTTACTGCTACAAACTACGCATTTGCACAAGTCTAAAAATTTCTATCACTATTAGAAAGTAGACATGCATACTTTATAAAAATCGCTCAGCAACACTTCTCACTAACGTAAACACTTCATCCAGACTCAAATAACACTTGCGTACTCAATGCTTGACATTTTCCACTTTTCACTTCATAATTTCAATCCTTCACTGAAGTAGACAGAGTGTCGCACACTGATTCTCTGCCTGAGAATCAAATTAAAACGAGAAAAGAATTGGTGGGCACATTTGAGTAATTTGTTTTTCTTGGTTATAGTTCAAAAGGTTCTTCTTTTTGCACAATTATACTTCGAAAGAGATACGAATTGTTTCTTAAAATTTGTTTGCTGCTAATAATTTGAACAAGATGTCTGGAAGTACCGCGATTTGATCTTAACTTGAGGGTCAATTCCCGTCTAATGAATGCTTTGTTTGGTATTTATTGAAATTATCTTCATGCTAAGTTTGACGTATACGTCCTGACTTTTCAAGCAAGAGCTCATATCCAAAGTCCTGAGTATTATCTTAATTTTCTTTTCGTGAAATCCCACGCTCGGAAATTTCACATGTTTATGTCTCTATGAGGACTAATTTTATTATACTATTCTAATTATATTCCTGTTGAGATTGCCTCAGAAATTAACAAAAAGTATGCAATTAACTCAACGCATCGTTTTGGAAATTTTTCAGAAAAATTAGATTTACAGTATTGAGAGTAAACTGGTCGTTGTTTATAGTAGGCTTATCTCAGCTGTTAAAACAAGATAGCTAGAGTTTTTTCCAACATATTTTCAATTTGAAATGACTCGTGTTTCGAAATAATTTGCATAGATATAGTATTACTTGTATTTACGTGCGGAAACTTTTCTGCGTTAGTGCCTCGTTGATTGGGAGGAAAATGATTACATGTTTGATCGAAATATCCATGCTCTAATTGACTAGAAGTGGATATTTGTTGTGACTCGTGTTCTGAATTCATAAAATCCGATTCGTACAATGTAGTTTCTGATTGCATATGAACAATTTAGAGAAAATAATTCCGTCTCTGACGCAATTTGCAGAATTTTTTCTGAAAAGAAGACTTGATTCATTAAAATCTCAATAGGCATGAATAGTTTACTTCTTAGGCGAAAAACATGAAAAATGTACAGAAATATTAATTTTAGTAGCAAGATTTTTTCCGCGTGTTCAAAACGTAAAGGGCTCAGAGTGTTTTTATGACTACAGAAGTGAAGCAGCTGCTTCCTACCAGACAACAAAAGTGCACTGGGCCGTGCACTTGCATTGTGCATTTCATTTTCAGGCTTGTCACATTCAAATTTTCTTCATTGAACCACTTATTCAGATATTACTGTACTTCCATAATTTCAATCCAGAAATAGTAAAGGACACACACGAGGAGCTCAATTCGTGTATATATAAATATTGGGTTAAAACCATCTTTTGTGAAGGATTAATATCTCATTGTCTTGCATTTACTACTATTTCTTCAATCTAAAATTGATCTTCTGACAGTATTCTTTTTAGTTAAACAATTTATGTGTAGAATCCAGAATAATTCAAGTATCTGTGTTTTATAATCATCTTCATAGCATGGACATTATATTTTTTATTATTCAGTTGCAGAATTACAATTGCTTTGAAATTATTTTTGGACAATGTATTAGAAATAAAATTTTGCAATTTAATAGTTCAACTCTTAATTTTGAAAAAATAGTTCTAATTCAATTGATCAGTTTTGTATTTGCTTTTTTGTCTAAAAAATTCCAAAATTTTGAAAACAAACTTTAAAATTCTAACAATGCGGTCAGTTGATCTTTATATTATTTCAGTCATATTTATCAATACTCTCGTTTTATTTGCTTAATTTTACTTATTTAAAAAGACAAAATGTTTAAATTGGTTTTCATGACAATACTACGGAGGCTGTAAAGACCAAACGTTATTGCTTTTCGATGTTCAGATTTTGCATGAGATTACAGATATTTTTGCCTCTAAGTTATAATTCATTTTTTCACTGGTGTCAAGTTAGTTGACTTGATCTTGGTTTTCGAACAGCTACATAAAATTTTTCTGCTATCAGTATTCTTTCTATTTTGTAAGGAATTTTTATATTATCTTGCAGAGAAAGGAAGATAATTATTTTTTATTGGCAGTAGAAATAAAATTAACTTTTATATTCATGCACCATAGTTATGTTTTTAGGTTAAAGATATGTATAGTATGATGTAGCTGTGTTGTATTTATTAATAAATTGTGAAAAATTATGATATTTTATAGCCCTCTGTGACTTATGTAAAGTATTGCATGTTGATTGCTTCTTTTACCGTTTCTTAATTTTAGGTCACTGTATTTGAAAATATGGTTTTACTAACACCGGAAGAGGAGCTTGAAAAACAATATCGAGATTACAAAGCTCAGTTCGAACAGTGGAAAGAAAAAAACAAGTTTGTTTAGTTCCATTTTTATTCATGGACCTTTTGACTTGTGAGTTATTCTTCGTGGTCATTTCAGCAAAATAAACTATTTTTTTCAAAACAAGTTCAGTTCCGTATAGGATTTTTCATCTTTCTCTTCTTATGGAAATAATTGTAATAAATTATGATAGAACAGAAATATTAGTCCCAGTATTTGTCTTCATTTAACAAGTCCTTTTTTATTTTAAAATGCTTTTTCAAAAAAACTAATTGGTTGCAGATACTTTAGTTACGATAATTCAAAAATCGGTGCAAGTTTAAAGATATCCTCTATTAACTTGTTATATTCAATTGAAAAACTTAATTTTATAGAAATTCAGTCGGTACAGAAGCTTATGTCGCATATGTGAAACAGTTTGAAGCGTGGGAACGGGATGTCGATCAGAGACGTGAGATGATTCGTGCTAAAGCGGAAAATGATGCCCAAGAAGCACAGGTATCTTAGAATAATAAAATGATATTATATTATAAAAGACTCTTTTAAGGCCTTAACATTTGCATCTGATTACAAAGATATATAAAATTTGGTGTATGGATTGCTCTTTTTTGTACTGGTCATCGATTTTAGTCGTTCTGGAATCATGTACTTCAAATAAATTATTGTAGGCTACTGCACTAGCAAAAGCAAAGGCAGTGGCAGAAGCAAAATTGAAAAAAGAGCAAGAAATGGAAGAAGAACGTAAAAAAAAACTCGAAGGTAAGTTTAAGATGCGAAAGTGTAGTACAATAAAGAAGAACTTTAGAAATTTTTCTCGTGTTATAAGTCAGCATAATGTTGTTTTATTACTTATTGTGTTGTTCATCTGAGGTAATTTCATGTGCATTCAAACGAAGCTAGAACAAGTAAAAATATTGCCTGCAGCATATTGGCGTAGAAAACTATTGTTGTTCGTTTGATGCATATGTAAAATGAGGTTCAGGCAATGCCAACTATTGATTAATTCTTATCTCGTTCTAGCCTCGTTTAAAGGGCATCACTGGATTCAATACTAAAAATTTTTTTTTGACGAACCGGTTTGGCCGATTGTTTTGGTCTGAAATTTTAACAAAATTTTAATTTTATTAGCGGAAACTGCGGCACAAGCTGCAGCTTATGCAAAACATCAACAATCATACCTTACACATCACCAATCAGCTATGCAACTCGAACAGCAGTTACATCAAGCAGCTCTATCAGGCTCAAAAGATAGTCTGTCAGTACATACGGCGGATTCAAAAAGTGTTGATGGTGATTATTCTTATTACAGTGTTTTTACCCCACATCTTATTCATAACACAACTTATTCAAATGCTTCTATTTATTTATTTTTGCACTTCCTAAAAGTACGGTTGTCTGCGATTTTTCATTCTCTTCGAATCATTATTATTTGAATCTTGTATTATGCCTATTTTGGTTTTAGAAGCATTAGATCCAACTCATGTTGCCAAAATGATGAAGCACATGGCACAGGTTGCGCAGTTGGTGATGGGTGATCAGGGAGATGGTAATTGCCAAATTTTTTTATCATAACTGCTTTTAACTTTAAACTTTTGCAATTTTTACGTTGCAATATTCCTTTTTTCTTCCTTTAAAGCTTGACGCCAGATTTTATATCAGGCATTATTTCCTTAGGCACTAGTTAATAAATGAAACTTTAGGAACTTATCAGCAAACAATTCAAACTACAGTAGGACAAACAGTACCACCACCGCAGCTGTGGGGTAATGATAGGATAACGTATGATTTGAACGACCTAATGTACAAAAGATGGGCAATGCGAGCAGCTCCACCGTATTATAAACCTACTTACAAGCCTCCTCCATCCGATTATCAAGTAACTCCGTGTTGGCTTTATGTAGAGCAAATGAAGGAAGAAAAGCTGATGCTTGCCCCTCAAGTTAATATGCCGCCACCGCCATTTATACCAAAATTTGTTTCTCACTAAATTTCCAACTGAAGTTGGTATTTATAAACGCTAGGTGCGGGAGTTCCTCACCATTGATCATAAATTTGAATCTATACTGTTCACAGGCCGATGAAAATGGTCACTATTTGGATTATTAAAGTTTGTCATTTTGCATTCTTTCAAGCATTGTTATTTGCCACTTTTTATTGAGCTAAAGTATTGCTCTACAACCTGTGCATTTTATAGCTAATGAAGCTTTGTCATCAATGAGCGTAAAAGACTTTGACTCGCCACTGAATCAGACTGCATTTGTATATTAATTTTGCAAATTTAATAAAAAAATATCAGAATAATTTAGTACTCCTTTCACTTTCTCAAATGTTCTCCAAATTTTTAAAACATGATAAAGAACGATTTTATGCATTAATCTAGAAGATTGCGTTCCAGGTCACTTGATTAAAAATGTTTTTTATATCTGCATTGTGTCGTGTTTGATTTAATCGAATTTGGTGATGTCAAGTTAGCTTTTCATTTTCGTTATTTAATTATTGAAAAGTTTTTTCTTTTCTCATTACAATCAATTTTGTTTATTACTGAAATAGCACAATTTTCGCTTTCTGTTGCAAGATTAAACAGTACATTTTTTTCTAATATTTACACAGCCCTAAATGTGGATGATTCATTTTAAGTTGAAAAAGTTTCATCTTAATTATATCACATCTTTTTAGATATCGCGGTTTACTTTATTATATATTGGTCGTATTCGGAAACCAAAAGTGGTCATATTTGTTTTTCAGAATATGAACTGCGATACGAATGTGTCGAAACAAATGATCTATAAAAAATCACCTTCATATATATTTTTGTATAGGATTACAATGACTATGATCTTTGTGTTTACTTCCACTTGCTCTGAGGTGCTTTCGAAGCCACATTAAATTGTTTATCGCATATTAAGGAAGAATGAGATGTGGTACGGTAGCATACGTTGGTATGAAAACAATTCGTTACGGAACCGTTATTACACCGAATGTTGTCAAAGATGTCCTTGGAGCATTACCAGAAGAACAGTTAACGGCTGTTTCTAGGCAAACATATCTTGTAAGCTTAATATAATAATTGAATTCTTGACTCGAGCGTAAGCGTTCCTCAAATATTTGTAATTTATTTCGTGTTTTGAATCAAAGATGGAACTCCTTTAAAATTTATAAATACAAAGAATATGAAGCTTGAAATTTAACTATGTAAAAATGATAAAGTTTCTTTTTGTGCTCTTAAGAAAAACACCAGATTTCTCAAACCAGTGACAAAAATTGAAGATGGTCGATATCCATCTGTTTCAACAATCTTAGGATGCACAACTTCTCAGCGTTCACTTTATCACTGGCAGTTAAAAATGATAAAACAGCTGGGTGGCATAGGTGCTTTCAAGAAGCATATAAGGGGTTAGTTTTTCTAACTATCCACTCACGACGATAGGCTGTATCTTTTTTGTGGAAGGATTACTCTACAAATCAAAATCGTCAAGAAGTCATATAAATAAAAAAAACCTGCATTTTTTTCTTCCAAACATTATTGTTTGGCTTAGTAGAACTTCCATTTTTGGAAATATTTTATTTTCGATTTTTCTTATCTCTGTTTCAGGTCGCATGATGATCGGGACACAGTACCATAGTTGTGTGCAAAGAATTTTAGGAGAGTTTAAAAATCGAAGAAGTTTTCCAGATAACGTTGCTGAAGAAGTGATCTGTACAGTAAGATATTTTAATACTTGCTCATCGTTTAATATAACGTTTGGTACGTGTTATAGAAGGTGTCTCTTAGCAGTGATTGATAAATTACTTCTTTTTGACTAGATACTCTCATTTAAAGACTATAAATTTCTGTGCAATGAAATTCATAGAACATGGCCTTACAGAAAAAAGTTACCAAAAGTTGTTTCTAGTAGTTGAAAAATTGGTATGAAAAAAACAAATTTGTTGTAGTCCTATAAGTTTCAAAAATTAACTTTTAACGCGACTTCAATACTTTGGCATCGAAAACAATTGCTTTTTTTAATGATTACTAATACAAAGCAGTAGTTCAAACATATTTTAATGAAATAACGATCATCAAAGAACGCATTGAGATGAGGATTTTTGCGCTCATTTATCTTCGCTAGTACATGGAAGTTTTGTAAAAATTTAGGCTAAATATAATTAAAATAGAAGATTAAATTCTATCTTCATTATTAATCAATAGTTTGAGGATATTGTAGTTTAGGTTGATGCGTGTGTTGGTAGTTATGTAAATAGTGTTCTTCCTATTCTGCGTACTTTTGCCAACAATAATATGGAATTAGAAAGACATACAAGCCATCATGGTCTTTGCTACAATGGACGCTTTGATGCTACTGTCACTTATAAGTTTGATTTATTTTCTTTTGATTTAAGATTTTTCAGTTTGCCTCAGTTAAAGCTTAAATATGTTCAATGTACCTCTTTTATTGGTATTTTAACTAAGAGAAACAGAAATCGGTTTTAAATCTGTGGGCTTTTAGGCTGTTGTCTGCAGTTCACAGCTAATGTTTCCAGTCAATTTGTACTTTGTTTTTTTAAGAAAATGTTCAGCCATTGCAAGAATAAAGTATATTATTGTTAGGGATGCTTTGTTTTTAATGGATTGGAAGACAGTTTCTTCTGGTTCGACGAAAGATAATTGTGTAGAAATAGAAAAAATGTACAATGATCCTCTACAATTGGCCGCTTATATTGGTGCTGTTAATTCAGATTCAAATTTTAAAACCTTACCAGAGGTAGAATTTTTATTATCTTAAATTATGCAAGTAGTTTTGTTTCGATTATATATATACCTTCTCATATTATTGTATAATCAATGAAAATCTATGAAGAGCTGTCCAATAATTTGAAATCTAAAAATGACATTCATATTACTGCACACATAATTTTCACTGCTAATTTGGTTCCATCAAATGCAAAATTATTATCAAACACACATTTATTAGTCATCAGTTCATGACTGAAGTATTAAAAAAGCAGTCTTCATTGAACAGAGCTCGTGTAATTTATTTGGTCCCTCTTACCATCAATTACTTACTCTTTACGTCACTTTGATCTAAAAATATTTGCATTCAATGTTGAAATTGCTAAATTTATCCTGATTTCTATTAATAAAAGTCATTATGGGTTGAGAAAGCATAGATAATTTTAACTCATAATGAGACTCAGACTCTGTTCCCATTTATATTAACTTTTAATGCTTCTCCTATCCATAACCACTTTTATTGATTACAATTCTAAATAAGATTATTTATCTCTTGAATGAAAAATTGGAATGAACTTTGAAATCGTCTTTGCATAAAATGAAAGCACATTATTATCATTCATATGAGTCCGCACTTTTTTCAGATTCGTTGCGGAGCAATCGTGATAGCAAAAGAAGATGGTTCAGTTGCAGATGTTGTA